GGAGGGGGGAATAAAATTCAACCAGATTGTTTTCAAATTGACCTCAGTTCGATATCAGCAGGAGACAAGAATTTTCAAATAAAAGTAAATAAGAGTACATGTATTTTCTTTCCTCTGAAATATTGTATGGAAAATATTGACTTTTGCTTACAATGCTTCTGACATTCGATTTAATAGCGTAGTGTCTCTGATAAACTTTTTCTCATAATAATTCATATTTTTTCGTCAAGTATTTCATCATAAGGGAATAAGAAAGTTCATTTTTCTGTTGTGTTTTCCTTTTTTCTGCCTGTTTTGTTACTGCTGTCCTTCATCTTTGTTACTCTTTTTCTTTTTTTTACTTCTGCGCGATGTGTCTGTTTATTTTAAAGTTTAATCAGTGTATATTTTCTTCTTTTGCCAATTAAAATTTCAATATTTCTTTTCATTTATTTTTTTCCCCCTGTATTTGAAGTTTAATCAGTGTATATTTTCTTCTTTTTCCAATTAGATTTTAAATATTTCTTTTCCTTTTTTCCCCTGTATTTGAAATTTAATCAATGTGTATTTTATCCTTTCGCCAATTAGATTTTAAACTTAATTTCTTTTCATTTGGCTTTTTCCCCCCTTGGTTTCCATTTTGTTCCTAGCTTGAACGCAATCTGGAAGATATACACGGTCAGATATCACAGCTGAGAAATAGTCAGGACCAGCAACAGGTGAAAATGGAGCAGGTACTTCACTCTACTTAAACACTTTGTTTGAATCTTTTGTTTGATGCTGTGTTGCTGAGGGTTCTGTTTTTTGTTTTTGTGTCTTTTGTTTGAGTTTGGTTTGGGGTAATATTTTAAAGTTATCATTCTATTTGCTGTTCTTATCACGTATCACTGCTGTATATTCAAGTATTCTTTCTCTTTCCATCTCTCTCTCTCTCTCACACACACACACACACACACACACACACACACACACACACACACACACACACACACACACACTCCCCCCTCTCTCTCTCTCTCTCTCTCACTTTCTTTGTCCTACTTCTACCTCTATAATATCCTTTTGTCCAGTCCTTTCCCACAGCTCTTCATTTCTTATTCTACCCTGCCACTAATTTTTTTTCCATACTCCTCATACATCTGTAGTTGAAAGTCTGGACTTTATTCAATACTGTCATTGTTGTCTTCCAAGTTTCGCAGCCGTAGACGAGCACAGACTTGACATTGGACTTAAAGATCGAATCTTGGTGTGCAGTGAGATGTTGCTTGCTTTCCAGACTTTTAATAATTAAGGTTTAATATGTAGTTGCTTTGAAAATAATGTGGGTATTTTTAAAATTGTCATGAAATTGAGCTGAATTATTTATTTTACGTTTATGCCAACCATTGTTTGCCACCCAGGAGGACTTTGACACAGTGAAGGAGTTCCTCAAGCACTTGTTCCAGCACGCCCTCGCCATCTCGTCCTCGGGCTCGGAGAGTCTGGCACTCAGCAAAGATGGCGGGGAGAAGGAAGCGTACGACGTCAACACATACAACCCCGCACAGTCCAAGCAGGTACTACTTTACAGTCATGACCATATTTGTATATAT